TTTGAACTCTAAAATGTTGGTTGAGATTAGAATGTTAATGGACAACTGGAAATTAGAAATGGAAAAAGATTTGTACATTCTTATAGGGTTTTCCACCTCAATCTTGTTAATCCAACTGTCAGTTCTTGTTAAGTATTGTCTTGCCACTTATACATGATCACTTGTCCCTGACAAATACTGAGCAGTCTTTCTACTGATGCAGTTATAAAGCTTGGGGTTCTCTTTTAGGACAACAGTTATCAGAAAGGGACATAATAGTGGCATGCATAGATTACAGGTGATGTAGTTTTAATTCAAACATGACACGATGCGCTTTGTGAAGGGTAGATGCTATCCTGTTTACTTTTCTGTTTTGGATCAAGTTTTTGATTGTACCTGTTAGACTTATGGTATGACATTGTTTCCAAAACGATACACATTAGACAATTTTATATCTCTTCTTTCTTGTTCATAACTTGTATATGTATCATTGCTCCTTCAGTCCTTCCCCCTTCATAATTTTTATATTTATTATTGTTAGTAATTTGGAGAGAAGCCAATTTGGTGACTAATGGGACATTTGGATTTTTGCGNCGGTCCTTCCCTCTTCATAATTTTTATATTTATTATTATTAGTAATTTGGAGAGAAGCCAATTTGGTGACTAATGGGACATTTGGATTTTTGCGATAGTCATACCATTCAACAAAAAGAGGTATAGCTTAAAGATGTGGTTTGCAAGTGGAAAACCTTTGTTTTAACATCTCAGGTGATGTGCTGAACAATCGTGCAATTGATCACAATAGTCATTTTCAAAAATTTTTAGTTACACTTCTTCTGCTCGTGGTATATAAGTTGAGCAAAGTCTAATCTGCCAACTGTCTTAGTTTACTGTGGAGCTTTGAACTGAACCAAGCAACAACTTGATCCAGAGATACCTTCTTGGTTGACAAATTAAAAATCTCCAGCATTTTAAACCAGAGTATCTCCGAATTGGCAACTGAAGAAAGAATTGTTTTGGGAGTCTGCAGTGTATTGATAATAAACACACAAACTCCCAGGTTATCCCACTCTTGGACATAAGCTTGTCAGGACTAGCTTTTTTTTTTTTTTAATATGAAACGATAAAGTATTATTAAATTAAGTAAAAGAGTATCGTACAGTGGAGGACAAGTAGTCCACATGAGTAGATAAGTGGCAGGCCAGATCATTAAAGAATCCTCCGCAACATAGTGGCTCGTGCAGGAAAGATAAACACAAGGCAATGTAGGAAGGTGATTACTTAAAAATCTCCCAGTACAACCAGCATTGGATTACCAATGGCTAGCAGAAACCAAAGAACAAGATCTTACCTTTAAAATATTAGATAATCCAGATTGAACCTTAAGGGATTTAAGTTCTAAAAAATTAGTATAATTAGCTGCTGGTCACACTTGCTGATTATGGTGAATAATAGAGCAAAGATTTGCATATCAGTGTTAACAGTGCCATACCTGTTGCCATTGTGAGCAGTAAGGAGACAAGATGATACCGCTAAACCACTAGAGTAGTTGACCATTTGGATTTCTTGCCATACAAGTAATTGAGCTTCTCTGCCTTCCTCTATGACTATAGACAATGATAATGGAAGCTATATTCCAGGTTGTAATTCTGTGTATACCTGAGCCACGTGGCTCCATTATCATCCACGAGATTATGACCAACATCCCAGGCAGCCTTGGCCTTGACTTCTTTAAATTTAAGGGTACTCTCCCTTTTAGGAACAGCAAAGATGCTTTTCCTATGGTATCACCGATAGGCAATAAATTAAGAGAGAATAGTTAGTTCTACCTTTGTCTCTCATATTGGCCCGTGCCCCCTAATATACCGTTTGTCTTTCCATTTAAAAGAACATAGAACTATAGAAGTAATTTGATTGTAGCTAGTAAATCCCTGTACAGTTCATCGCCATTTATTGAACAATCAAGAGTAGACTTTCAATTACCTGTGTGTGTGCATTCTAAGATTGACTTTAATAGCACACTAGGGCGTACATTTTACAATGTTAACCATCTCTTGGAGACGATGTCAGATATATCACGGAAAAATGGCTGAATGAACAGAGAGCAAAGCTCTTCAAGCGCTGGTTTAGTTTTATTAGCCAAGATCTAGACATGCATTTTCATATCACATTGCAATGGGATATTAGTCAAGACTCAAAAGTCACACATAGAATCAGGGTGTTTCAGTGAGAGTTTTATTGCTAGTTTTCTCATTATACTTGCTTAAAATAAAGGGCTGTAAAATTTGAAAGTGACATTTATTTTTTAATATCTTTATAGAACTTGATGAACTGCTTTGATCTTTATGAGATTGTATACTCCATTAAGCCAATATAGACACATTAATCTCTCTTTTCCTTTTCATCTTACAAGAAGCTTGTATTTCAGATGCTTAAGATCGCACAATCATAATATGTCATGCACTACACAGAGAGTCATGTTGTTTTGATTAAGATTGCCATATCAAAGGTGTTTTGTAGAGCGATGAGAACAGCTCAACCTTCTAACATGAGATGTTGAAAAGAATGATGACTAAGAAACATGGCAAGATTAACTTTTCAAAGGATCAGATTTCCACATTTCTTAGGGATGGTTTACCTATGTCATAATCAATTCNTTCATCCCCATCTCCATTCCCGTACAGGTTCACACGGGTGTCCCTGTATACCTTCGTCATTCAATACGTATGGTCNTGTGCAACCACATTGCTGAATATGGAGGTGATCCCAACAGGTAGTTTAATTCACATTTTTTTCAACAATTAGTCTTTGTTTTTGCTAAGTATGTCAGTGTTTGGTTCATACTGTTTCCAGAATTTATCTAATGGGACAGTCAGCTGGTGCGCATATTGCTGCTTGTGCACTCGTGGAGCAAGCAATCAAAGAGGCCGGCGAAGGAGAGAGCACTTCCTGGAGCGTCTCCCAAATAAAGGCATATTTTGGTCTATCTGGAGGGTAATTCTATGTTGAGGATCTTGCTTATAGTTTGATTTTTTTCTTCTTTTAATTCTAGTGACGAAAAAGATCTTTACATTTTCCTTTTGGATAAAAATTTGCATAACTGGATCTGACCCGATGGGTGGTAAGGATAGTAAAAACCACTAGTTTTGGGTTTAGAAGATTTCCCATGTGATCTTTTGAATGGTGGATCTGTTATTGATACAATGATATATGAAATGATCTGCTTGGAATTAAGGTGGAGTAAATACAATTTTAATAAATAAATTGTGTGACAATTGTCAATTTGGTCCCTAAAGTACGAATTTTTCAGTTGTATCCCTAATGTTTGAAATCTATGTTTAAGAGGTATACTATCTTACCATTGTTTAAATTGATAAGACATCTGCCCATTTGCTGCTCACGTGAGGGATTCATAGGGATAATTTGGCCTAATACCAGCATTTCAAATACCACCTCTTCTCTTTCACTTTTACTTCCATATTCTTCCTCAATTTCACTCCCTGCTCTCTCTCTTTCACTCGCCACCCCTGTCCTTACCCTTTATCTCCCCCTGCAGCTGAACACCACCCTACTTTCACACACACTGCACCTACCATGGTACCCCTCATCCAACCTTTTGCCTCCACTACAACACAATTACAACACCTTTGCACTGCTCCAAGACCCTCTGTTATTGAGCACAATTGACCACTGCACCAAAATGCCATCAACTACAACGCCAAACCTTTGTATCCAAGGCACCACATCCACCCTATAAAGCCAATGCTATCATAGAAAAACCTCCACCATAGAATAGAGGGCACACAGCTGTACCAGTGCACTAAGTTCACCAACCCCACCCCCACCCCCACCGCAACCACCACTGCACTCCATCAAACTACCAGTTCCCATAAATTGAATCATACTAACCATAATTGAAGCCAATTTCTTGAATTTAAATCACAAAAACACAATTGCAAACACCTTAATCACCCTCGGTGTAGAATGATCAAGAATGGCATCACCGCCTAAGTTGATGTAGCTGCGGTTAAGCAAGACGGAATAGACGAAGTTTTTTGAAGTCTCAGCAGTGGAATACGATGTTTGCTTCGATCTATTCTTTTATGAAGGATGAGGGCTTCGATGTTGGCATTGATGGACGGTGGCAATAGCTGCTAAGTGTTGAGGGTGGTGGTGGGTGTGTTTATGGACACAAAGAGAAAGAAATGGGGCAGGGGTGTGATGGGCTGAAACCAACTTATGTCTAGTGTTATGATGGGTTTTTATTTTGCCTGTGATGAGGACAGAGATGGAGGATGCTGGAGGGTGGGGATGAGTGCCATGGTGGTTGCACTATGTGTGTGGGTGGGATTAGGGTTCAACGGGGGGGAGAGAGAGAGGGATGGCAAGTGGCGATAAGTGACAGTGAAGATGGAAAGTAGGGAGAAATTGAGGACGAAGATGGGTGAAAGACTAAAAACACAAGTGGAAAGTACTTTTATTTGCAGTCACAACACTGTTACAATGATACTTTGGGGAACTTGATTGATGCTTTTTCTGCTTAGCTTTGTGTTTTTTTTTATTTTTGCATCTGCGATTTATTGAATGAAAACCCGGAAGTGTATGCTTATTTAAATTAAATAGCCATGAAGTTGTTTCGTAAATTATGACGACTTTTTGCTTAGCCAAACCAAAAGAGCAAGCATGGTTACTCTATGAAAGCTGAATGATCTATAGCTCCCCATCTTCCTTGAATATTTCTAGTTTGTATATGTTTTTCTGTACACAGACCATAATAAACTTATCACTTTCCCGTCAACATTCGTGAACAGGTACAATTTGTTTGACTTAGTTGACCACTTCCACAGTCGAGGTTTGTACCGTTCCATCTTTCTAAGGTACATATTTTATTGACCTGGTTAGTGATTTAATGGAAGCAGTATCCAATTACTGTCTTATTCACCATGTTTTTATTTTTTTGGTACATTATTCACCATGTTGCCTAGTACATAATTGATGGTTTATCATGCTTGCACAGCATAATGGAAGGGGAACAATCTTTGCGACGGTTTTCTCCAGAAGTAATGGTGCAGGACCCGAACATTAGAAATGCAGTTGCTCTCCTACCTCCAATTATCCTTTTCCATGGTACTGGAGATTATTCCATTCCATCAGATGCCAGGTTTGAATCTGCATTGAAGAGAATGCAGCTATTGACCTTCTATTTATCAAATGTTATCTTATCTAGATAATTCTATATGGATCAAATTTTCTTAAAAGAGCATGAGAACAAGTATTAATTGGATTTGTTAATCAAACTGGCTATTGGATTGGATGGCGTTGAGCTTGTATCTATCTCGACACTTTGTCTTTAGATGTAGGAGAATTAAACGAATCCTAATGTCCATTTTGTCTCAATTTATGCACCGCACCCTATCAGGGGCTGTAAGGTTTCGTTTTAAATGGCTGTTTGAGTGGTGGATGAATGCAAGTGAATGTCAACTTGGGTTAACAATTGTTCTGAATCTAATAAGGGGCATATATGTGTTCTTATGTGCAGTAAGAGTTTTGCAGACACTCTTCAAAGAGTTGGAGTCAAAGGTGAATCAATTCTGTATGAAGGAAAGACTCACACGGATTTGTTTCTCCAGGTAGCCAATTGCCACATTCTTTCTTTCTTTTTTGTTTTTCTTGGACACAAAGTGTGGTTATGCATTGTGTGATCCATTGGATTATTGTTTTATCATTCAATAGTACTAGTAGGGAAGCTCCTGCCCATCCGATTTATTGAGTACCTTAACCAAATAATTTGGTTGCTATAGATTCCAATTTAGAGTGTCTTGTTTCCTTCAGTTCTGAATTCATGGAACAGACAAACTCAAATCACTAATGCTTGGAAGTTTTCTGGTTTTGCTTATCATCCTGTTCATCTTGTGCGTGTGCAGAAACATGCCAATTTTTTCTTATCACCTTTTTCTTCTCTTGTTGGAATGCCTTCTTTTTCAGGGACACAAGTATTTCTGAGTATTGTATGAAACAATACGTTGATACTTANCGTGTCACCTTGATTCTAATTTCTGGTATGCCTTGGTGCAAGGTGCCACCAAGACCGACCATTTGCACCCAAGTCAATTGGGGTGTGACACCTAAAGACTAGGCACTTTTCCAAAAGAACCCAAAAAGACACACAATTATGTCATCCAGGCTTGTAGTTTGCCAAATATAGGGAAAGCTCTAATTCCATGGGACAGCTTGCGAAAANCGTAAAATTATAATTTTTTGAGGTATTTAAGGTCAATTGAAATTATTCTAAGATTTTATGATCAATTTTAAACACACCAAAAAGTTGTATATAAATATAACCCAAGAGGAGTAATTTTACTCAAAAAAGAATAAATTGACCCAAAAAATATATATTTTTGTTAATTTTTATATAATTTTTTCTTTATTAAATCAAGTTACAAGTCTCGATTTATATGAAATACATTGGTCTAATTTTTTGTTTTTCTCGATTTCATTGATAGCAGAATGACCTTTTTCTATAAACAAGTTAGCGCTTACCCAAAAAAAGTTATAGGATGCTACTCTAGATTTTCTCNGAACATAATTTGAGGATTTAATGATTGTAACCATTAGATTGTCAGTGGGTCTCAACATTATCAATTCAATGATCATAATGCATTAAATTTCTAAATTATGTTCCAATAACATTAGTGACTTTAATATACCAACATTACAATATTTTCACACGAGGAACAGAGATGTATCAATTTTAAAATTAATGGACTACAATAGAAAGAGGATGAACCATCCAAAATGAGAACCTGCATATAAGGCCATAATAGAGAAAAACTGGAAAGGAATCTGNAGGAGGAGCAGAGATGTATCAATTTTAAAATTAATGGACTACAATAGAAAGAGGATGAACCATCCAAAATGAGAACCTGCATATAAGGCCATAATAGAGAAAAACTGGAAAGGAATCTGACAGAACATCTAATCTTTGGGGACACTTGACTTGGTCTTTCAGTAGACTAGGTTGACCCAAGGTCAATGTTTGTATCCTCATGACCTACCATTTGAACTGTTCCTTATTGCTTTACACTTACACAGGGTTTATTGACAAGTTGTCTTCAACTTTTTTGCTCTATATAAATTCTATCCCTAAACTTCTAAAGTTTCTTAGTTTAGCCACTCTTTTAAATAGTTATTCGCATTAACTTGCACGGATTGGCTTAGTAGTCTTACAATGCGTGAATGAAGACTCATACATCTTGAGTTTAAGTGTCCTTAGTTGCTTAAAACATGAACTTGACTAATACATATGTAATTTGATGATAGTTCATATATTTGAGATTTACGCTGTAATCATTAGTTCAATGACTCGTTTATTAGTGTAGCAAGATCAACGGAAAATCAAAGCATTGAGGAGGAAAAATTATCTACATTCCATCTAGGCTCTATTACATCTAGTGGAGTATCAGATTTTTTGGATCTTGGTGAAATTAAAGTCACTTTTTGGTAGACTTTTGTTGGAATTCTTTGATTTATAAACATCATGAAATTAATTTTATCATGCTGTATTTATATTTATTTTAAAGGGT